AGCATTCACCAGTCTTATTGAGGACAACCAAAACTGCCTAAAATCTACTTTTCAATTACTTTTTTTGCCAGTTTTTAGGGATATTTTTTAAATACAGGGCCACTTGAGAGTGCTGAACAACAAGCAATAAAAACGTATCCTGAATTAACACAACCCTCCACACATCTCCATTCCAGGTCCTAACTGCAAGTTTTGCTTCCTTTGGAGTTTGTATCATGGGTTTAAAATACACAGATAGTAAAATTCAAAATTGTCATAGATGCATATTATAATATTGGCCTTTTGCAAATATTAAAATAGATTCTATATGTGTAATGTTTAAATTAATTTGTTATAAAAATGTAAGTTTTGTTTCTATTGTTAATTAAACTTAATACAATAGCTGATATAAATTTACTTGTATCAAAATACTTACTTAAATGAAATAACATCCAATAAACATATAAAGAAAATTACTACTACAGATATACCAACTATCAACTCTCACTGCCTAAAAACAGTGTAGACCAAGACCCAAAAACTGAAAGTGATAAAAATAAACTAAAACCACAAAGAATACTCTAAAAAAAAAAAAGAGCCACACTAAACAGTTCTTAGAATATGTAAACTAATTTAGGGGGAAAAGTTTACTATATGTAATTGTTTATAAATATTTAACAAAGTGATGTAATAAAAATAATATATAACAAGTATTTCCAAAATAACAAGTGTACTCAAATAAATACCCAACACCCAGCCGTTTTTAACCTTTATTTCTGTCTCCTACTGTTCTTTATTAAACTTTTGAAATTTTCACAAGGAAGTAAAGGCGTTTTTCACAAAAAAAAACCCCAAAAACCAAAAAAAAAACCAAAAAAAAACAAAACCAAAAAAAAACCCAACCAAAAAAACAACCAACCAAAAAATCACCAAAACCACTACACAAAGCACTAAGAAGACAGTAAGTAAGTAACTATTTGTTTCATACAAGACTGCTACCGGGATGAAAATGCCAGAGGGTTGCAGCAGGTTTCACTGGCACTGGGTGGGGGATCCCAGGCAGGGACCTGCCCTTTCAGGCAGCCCCAGGGGACTGGAGATGCACAGGTTTCCCGAGCAGTCCAAGCAATTCCAAGGGAGCCAGATCTTACCGTGCAGAACAGAGGGATGTTGGGTGCTTCAAATACTCTGGAAAACCCCACAAAACACAGGGAATCATCCTGGAGCAAGTATCACCTCAGTGCAGATGGCACAACTCCCTGCAGTGCCTTTGTTTCCACAGGCTCATTACTGCAAACTGAGTCCCCAACAGACACTGCAGGGTCACCCCCACACCTCTGCAAGCAGCTCTTGGTGCCACTGCAGCAGTGGTGACCTCTGATCCCCCAGACAGACCCTCTCCCCTCCCACAAACCCCACTCAGAAGGGCTCATGACACAATTTCTGAGTCCCCTTCCTGCCCATTCCTGCTGAGGTATTAATGGTACCATTCTTCTTGTCCTGTAGCTGCCATTTACTGCAAGATTCCTCTGCAGGTGACCAGCATGAGGGATGAATGTCAGCTCACATTTCTGGGAAGTGTGCTACAACGAGAGGGAGGCATTTGAGGATAATCAGAAAAGTGTAAGCTGCCCTACCTGTTATAAATGTCAGCAAGCTGAGAATCTATTTGCATTTCTCCTACAGAGAACATTATCACCTCTACTATTTTACTACTGAAAATATGACACTGCACAAGGGAAGTATCAGAAGGTCTCCAGTTTTATTCATTTTTAACAATAATATCCATTTTACTGTGATTTTTTCCAACCACATTTATGTGTGAGTATTTGCCTGGTTGACAGGGGTTGTGCACCACACAACTGATCTGTAGTTAATAGATTGGACTAATAATTGCACAAACCAGACAGAGATTGCCTTCTGAATGTGCTGCCAGGGTGTAAGAGCTCAGAGTGCTGCTTTGTCATCTCTTTGGTATCAGGTTTTTGTTTGGGCTGGGATATTTCCTGTTGTGATGTATGGAATTACACCAGGAGACAAGCTGGAACTTACAGCTGAACTTACAGCAGTTTGCAGAATTCTGTCTGGCACAAAGACCAGCAGCCCTGTGGTTTTAACAGTGGGGTAACTCGTGGGGTGTTCATGGTGTTGCACACCCCTAAGTGAGGGAAACACCAGTGAAAGCTGAGCTCACCTGCCTCCTGAGCCCCCTGTAACCTCAGGGGGTCACACACATCCCTCTGGGTGCCAGGCTCATCTGTGTGGGCTGTGTGCTGCCCAGGGCTCCACTGCTTGTATGGGGCCTTCTGTAAGCAAAGCACGGCCTGGCATCCTTCACTTCTCTCCTTGGGGCTGAGGGTGTTGATTTACCCACATTTGTGGATTGCTCCAGCAGCCCAGGGACATCACCAGGGCTCAGCAGGGCCAGGGCACTGGGCCACGGAGCTTTTACCTGTCACCAGCTGTCTGTGCCTGCTGCCAGTGTGACTCTCCCTGGTTTATGCATTCCTGTGCAGCCCAGGACCAACAAAAATGGGTTTGCTGTGCTGCCAGCAGCCCCTCTTTGGTGGTGTCAGTCGTGGTGCTTGCCAGGAGCTCCCAGAGCCAGTGATGCTATTTGCACTGACTTCTCAGGACAAATCCCCTCTGCTCAGCCATCATAAAATTCTGTTTCTTTGACAGCTGTTGGGCACTGTGAGTGTTGGCTTGCTTGGGCCTTTCCCACAGGTGTGTGCAGCTCCAGGTGAGTGTTTTCACAGAATCCCCAGAATGACCAGGCTGGAAGAGACCTTCAAGATCATGGAGTCCAACCCAGCCCCAACACCTCAACTAAACCCTGGCACCCAGTGCCACATCCAGGCTTTGTTAAACACACCCAGGGATGGTGACTGCACCACCTCCCTGGGCGGCCATTCCAGAACTTTATCACTCTTTCTGTAAAAAAACTTTTTTCCTAATATCCAACCTAAATTTCCTTGGTGCAGCTTGCCCTCTGGTTCTTCCTCTGGAGACAGAGCCCAGCCCCAGCTGAGCACAGGCACCTTTCAGGAGCTGTGCAGGGTGATGAGGGCACACCTGGGTCTCCTTTTCTCCAGGGGAGCACCCCCAGCTCCCTCAGGGGTTCCTCTCAGGGTTTGTGTTCCCAGCCCCTCTCCAGCCTCGCTGCCTCCTCTGGATGTGCTCAGTGTCCCAAGGTCCTTCCCAAACTGAGGGCCCAGAGCTGGGCACAGCACTCAGTGCACTTCTGAGTGAGTCCAGCTAGGTCAGGCTTTGTTCAGCAGTGCATTGATCACCTCTAAGGATGGAGGTACCACATCCTCTTTTCAGAGTTAGTATTATGGGGCAGCAGTTTTTCTTCATATCTGTATAGAATATCCCTTAGTCTGGCACCCTTTGTTTCTCCTCATACCAGTGTCAGGAGTGTGGCTTCCTCTTCCCACCCCATTTCACTCCAGTTTTGGAGGGTCAGCAATGTCAGTCCTGCTCAGCTGTCCCTCAGCTCTCCAGTGCTGCCCTGTTCAGGAATGCCCACAGGTTCTGGGCTAAATCCACCTGCCCCTCACTGCTGCCTTGGCCACCCTCAGCAGGTAATTAAAAGGTCAATTTTAGCTCTCTTGAGATGGGAGCTCCGAGTGCTTTGTCTGGGATCACACCTTGACAGAGCCAGGCAGGTGTAACACTTGCAGGGCTGGCTCGCGTCCATCACCTGGAGAATGCAGAATTAGTTACAAAGCTCTCTTATAAATCCCATCTGTTTTAATTCACTGTGCTCTTCGTTTCAGTTTTGTACGTAGCTTGGTGCAGTTCAAACTTCTAGCAAAGTTTCCTGGGTTCAAACAAAAACTGTTGGGAAAGCAGAGGTTTTAAGGAGGTGTTCCACAGTGGCAGGAGTGCCTTACTAGGCTGCTGGCACCCTTGGAGGGAATGTTTAATCCTGGATTAAACCCTCTTTTCCCTAAATTTCAGCTCACACAGACCCTCAGGCTCAGGCTCTGGCTGTTTCCTCAGCAGCTGTCCCTGATCCTTGGCACACTCCGCATGAAAGGAGCGGCTCTAAAGGCTCTGCGCAGCTCCCGAACCCTGTTTGACTTGGAGAGGTTTTCATGGAAACGGGATTTTTTTTTCAAAAAACAGATGTGAGAACTAGGTGACACTTCCAGAACCGTGCCAGCCAGCCTCAGTTCCCGCACCGTGAGCTGCTGTGCCACACGGGATTGGTTTTATGGATATGTGCCACACGGGATTGGTTTTATGGACGTGAACCCGAGGCTGAGGGTAGTGCCATCGGGCTGGACTGGCAGGTGCTTCACTGAACTACGCAGCCATTAAGGCTGCCTGGGACACTGAGCCGAGCGGTTACACCACTCCGCTGGCCCCTTTAGCAGCATCTTCCACTCCCACAGAGCCGCGGGCAGCGCCGCTCCCTCTGAGGGGCCGGGCCGCGCAGGCCCCGCCCGCCATGGCGCCGCGCCGTCACGTGCCCGCGCCTTCCGCACGCGTGACCGCCGCCCCTCCCCGGCCGCGCGGACGTGACGTCAGGGCGGTCGGTGCGCAGTTGTGCGGTGCGGCGCTGGCGGCAGCGCGGCATCGTCCGGCTGCGAACTTGCCGGCAGCGCGGCGCGGCGTCGTGAGGGCTCCGGGCGCGCTCTCCGCGGGGCGCGGGCCGGGCGGGCCCGGTACCTTTGTGAGCGGCGGGCAGCGGAGCCGGCTCCGCGCCCTCCGGTGAGGCTGAAGGGGAGGAGGCGCAAGCGGGGCGTGCGGGGCTTTTCTGCATCGTTCGGAGCCGTGGAAGCAGCAGCCGGGTGGTGAAAGGTGAAAAGTCGGGGGTTCGATGAGGGCAGCCAGCCCGCTCTCAGGGGCAGATCTTGTCCCCATAGCGTGTCCGCACGGCTGTGGAAATCAGGAGTAAGAACGTACATGTGCTGCGGAGGAATGCGCAGTTTGTCTCGTAGCGTTTGCATCGACCTGTGGGTTTTTGCATTCATCCCTGTGAAGCGTGGTTTGTTCTTGAGTGCTGGATGGCGGTGTGCGTGTTCCCTCCTGCGAGCAGGCTTTCTGTCGGCTCCGGTGCGATTTTGCTGCAGGATGTGCAATTGTCAGTGTCACGAAAAGTTGCAGGCGGGTAGAACGCAGCCTCTCCTGCGCCTTTGGGGTGGTAATGGCACACTTTAACTCTGGGACGGAGGAGGGCTCTGGAGGCTTTGGGAAATTCTGTGTTCCTTGTGGTCTGCGACAGTTTCACGTTATTTCAGAAGGTAATAGGGAATAAATTGAAAATTAGTTTAATGAAAAAGTGCTTTATAGGACTTTAGGAAGAAGCAGAGCTCTGGGGCTAAATACAAGTTCGAAATATAATTCCTTCATGTAGTGAGGCTGTACTCTTCCAATTTGATTTTTTTCCCCTGTTTCTCATAATTGATGAACTTCGCCTAAATTTGGCGATAGACAGGCTTCTATGACTCTTATCAATTTGATTTTTTTCCCCTTATTTCATCAATTATTTCTCATAATTGATGAACTTCCCCTAAATTTGGCGATAGACAGGCTTCTATGACTCTTACAGTAAGGACTTGGTGATTTGAGGACTTGTTTGAGGTGAGAATACCCACAAATTCAAAGTTACACAGGAGATGCAGGGATTGGAGCTGGCAACCTCTATCCCCTTGTGCCATAGCAACAACAGAAATTGTAGGCTTTGAGAAATACTGTGCAGTTTGTTTAATATTTATGTAAGTTGGAAGGTTTTTTTTTAAGAAAAGAAGGTTTTGGTAATGTTCTGGGATATTTTGAAGACTAGAGCAATACCACAATGCACAAATAAAGTTGCACCACAGTCGGGATCTTCGTGTTATGTTTTTAGTGTAGGTTTTCTTTGTGTGAATGCCATGTGAAACTGTTGAGTCTTTCACATCTAATCACTTTGTCTCCATCCTTACTGACACTGAGTACAGGTAGTGTTGGTGTTAATGTAGGTGTATTTTACGTAGGAAAAAACCCTTCACAAACTCTTGGTGTAGATCAGGCTTGCAGGTGAGAGTTGTATTCACTAGAAAGGATTAAAAAGCCTAAACTGCTCCATTCCTGTTTTAGCCTTAGGAAAGAAGGCATGCACACAAAACGTAGAGTGCTTGGAGGTGTCTTATTGTTTCTCTGTGATATCTTGTAACTCAAGCAGGGGAGGAAGACTTGCATGGGAATGAGAGTTCCAGCTTTGTGTTTCACTTTGTGTGTGAGCTTTGAGCAGAGTTGTTAGCTGTGCTTTTCTAGGCTGTGGTTCTGCAGCCTCAGTCTGTGCTGTCACTGTCCAGTCCTGCTCCCTTCCTTGCTCTGGAACTGGTCTTGGCCATCGGGGGATGTGTCTCAGAGACACATCGGGGGATGTGTCTCTCAAGCTGACAGATGGAAACTTTATCCAAAATCCAAATCCTTTATCCAGAATTCCTCCAGCAGAGCCAGAATCCTGGCAGGCAGTTTATCTGCCCTAGCCTGGTGAGGGGTTCCAGTGCAGGGATTGCTTGCATGGCACTTCTGTGAGCACTGATTCCAGCTGCCTGCAGTCCTGGGCTGCCATAAACCCCTGCCCTCACCTGAACAGGCTTCCCCTCCTTCCTGGGAAAATGCAGCGACTTTTTTTGAGGTCTTTGGATGAATAGAATTAATTAAGTACTACCTGCTGGTACCAGTACAGCATGGGATGCCTTGTTTTGGTCTTTATAATATAAGCCCCCCTTTTTTAACTGATTGTGAGAAAAGTGCCTGTTGTTTGGCCTTGGATTTACATTAAATGGCCTGTTTGGGGCTGAAGGTTTAACAGAACATAGTGTAACTGAGACTTTAATTGTCAGTTATTTGAAGAGCTGAAGTGTCATGAACTATTTTCTTTGTTACTTAGCAGTGGAAATTACTTCTTTTACATTACCAGGCACTTATGTATTTTACTTGTATTATGCTTTGACTGGAAGTCAAACGGGTAAAATGTGGAGTGTTACTAAGATGGTAAGTAACTTAGCAAGTGCAAATTGGGTCATTTGTACAATTTCATGGCAAATGACATTCTGAAAGTGTTCCAGAATGGATCGATGTTAAACACTGCAGTGACTTGGTGTGTGTGAGTCTGCTTGAGATCCTAGAAGGAAAGCATTGCTGGGCCACAGTAGTGTGCTTCTGCCCAGGTACTTGGAGATTCCTCCCCAGCTCTTGTGATGGAGTTGTCATCAAAAGAGCATTAAATGGCATTTGGTAGATCTTATTCTGAAGAAAATACATGTGTTGCAAAGGAATGTGCAGTTTGTCTCCCAGTGTTTGCATTGATCTGTGGGTTTTTACATTCATCTCTGAAATGATTTTTAGAAGCAGAGTTTCCTAGAAGCATGTTGTCCTGAGTGTTTCAGGAAAAGCTGTGTGCAGAAGAGATCCAACCGGGAGTGCTACAGCATTAGCAGTGGTTGGCCTTTGTGCTCAGCTTCCCAAAACCTGGGTTTCAGAGGAGGATGGTTGTCCTGCTGTCTGCACCAAGATGAGATCTAACAGGCCTGATGGAAAATGAGTTTGATTGCCTGGCTTTAGCAAGAGTGAAAGGTGAAGGTTTGCACTTCCCAGCATCCTTGTGCACTCTTTAATCAGAGCATCTTTAATAAGTATGATTGCCTTCATTTCAGCTGAAAGGGTAATTCGTATACAGTTAGCTCTGTGCAATTTATATACAGATGATGCACTGTAGACACTTATTTGCATATTCATTAACATGAGAATGCTTTGGAGGGAATGCCAACAAAGCAGTTGAAAGACACTGATTCTTTAGGTTCCCTTTATTCCAATCCTCCCTAGTGTTTGATGTGGACTTGGGGCATTCCAGGGAAGTGGACTGCAAGGTTCCACATCTCCGTGTAACAGATTCCCTTCCAAGTACAATTACGGTAAGAGTGGGATGATTGCAACCACTGGGTAATACTACATAATTATACTTACACATGTTGGGTCCTTCAGAGCAGACCTGAAAAGAATTATTTTTAATTAGAAGTGGTCTGACATTTAGTCTGCCTTACAGACTGTGAGCACTTTGTGTAGGCTGGTGGCTCTGACTTGTCTGTCAGTGGTGAAAGTACATCCCTGTCCCACCAAAGTTGAATTAATTTGTGTGTGTGTACACATGTGAAGTTGGAAGCATGGATTCATTTGTAGTGGAAGTGAACAGCTTGAGGCTTCCAGTGTCATTAGGGTTTTTCCCCCCTTACTGAAGTGGAGTTCCTCTCTGTCAGTCTGTACTTCCTTTGAGATCAGGTCTGTGTTGTCTGACATTTTCTATCCATTTCCTCTACCTCTTCATTTTTGCGTGGCTTCTCTTTAGGCCATCTCCCATAGTGTATGTCCATGTGTTGTTCTGCAGTCCTTGTCTACTGATATTTCTAATAGTTGGAATTTTTTTTGGTGTATTTTGCCTAAATATTCACAGAAGGCCCTTGCTGATTTTCCACCTGACAGTTCTTTTTGTTCACTGCCATTCAGAATGGTGAGATGGTTCCAGAGATTTTTCTCCTGATTGCTGTAGGGACTGCAAGGAGGAGCAGCACATTTGTGGGATATGAGGGTGTGGGAGAGCACTGTGTTATTTGAGTGGAAAGGTTTAAGGCTTTAACCCCATAAGTGGGAAATGCTGAAACAGAAGTGGAGCTTGAGCCCCTAAGGATTTTGTAAATTTAGAGACAAAATGTGACAAAATGTTTCAATCAGCCTTGAAAGAGAAGCAGAAATGCACATGAGAAGAAAGTGCAGGGAGATATAAAGGGAACAGATTGAAAGTTTTCAAGTAGGTGAGAATTAGACTTGAGGGAGAAGGATACACTGAAGAAAGTATGGGAAGAAAAGAGCAGCCTTGCTAAAAGAAAATGCAGAAAATGCTGGTCCAGCAAAATGCACCTGTTGATTATGGCACAGAGTTAATGCTGCTAAAACTCCACAGGGCTTCAGTGGAATATAGCACTATAAGCACTTTTTTATTCTTGAAGTATAGCGTGCTGTAGAACATTTTCAAAGAGATTTGTTTCAAATGGCTCTAGATGTGGGTCAGGTGATTAAAACATGCTGCTCTGGGGAACTTTATTCATCCCAAGTGATGTAAATGGCAGCTTGTTTGGTTTGTAACTCAGTGGATTCTGTTTTCTTGATGTGTAATCACATATGGATCTGAACAAAAAAGGCAATTCTTTGTTAGTTAGAATTGTGGGAAAGTGAAAGGAGGAAGTCCAAGGAACTGATGAATCTTGTAATTGTCTTATATTGACTTGGAGTGTTTTATGAAACCTGATTATAAACTTTCTGACAGCACTTACTGATTCCTAATTTTGCACAAATGGCAGTTTTATATCTGTTGTGTACCAGGTGCTGCTAATTCTCTTGGCACAGAGCTGGTTTTAGTGTTCCTTTAAAAAGCAAACTATTTGTGCTTTATAGAGTCACTTGCCCTGGGTTTATCAGTGCAGCTATACTGATAAACTCCACTTGGATTCCTGCCATAACATATCCTGGATCTAAGATAGTGCATGTGTAATTAAACTTCCTTGTTACCTAAATTTTATTTACAAAATTTCCTTAAACTGTGTTTAACTGCTTAACATCCAGTTGGTTTAAGTTAGGCAGCATCTCCAGATGTAGAAGAGGAAGTTCAAGTGTCAGCTATTAGCAGTTAATAAGAAAGACACTCTCTGAAACCAGACTTTCTGTCTTGGGTGCTTGCAGGCAGAATCATTGAATGTCCTGAGTTGGAAAGATACACAGGGACAATCAGTCCAGCTCCTGGCCCTGCACAGCACCCTAAGAATTGCACCATGTCCTGAGAGCTCAACATTCCTTGAGCTGGGTCAGGCTTGGGGCTGTGAGCTCTGCCCTGGGGAGCCTGCTCAGTGCCCAGCCACCCTATTCACATATCACTGTAAACCTCCCCTGTGAAGTGGGAGATCTGTGTATATCTATCTACCTATATATGCAGAAAATCAGATGATTGAAGATACTGAGCTTTAAATATGACGATTTTTTCCTAAAATACTGGAATAGTTGTTACAAACAGCATTTCTGTATGAGGCACTTGAGAAACATCTTCAGTGCAATTTTCTTTTCCTTGGTGTTTGCATACAAAGTTCTTTTTAAAACAGGATTTGGTTTTATTCCTGTGGGTGATGCTGGCTGTGGGAGCCTGGTTTTTGTGTGAGTGCATCATTCAGAAATGACTGGACAAGACTGTCAGTTTGTCATAGGCTCTGAAGAACTTGGCAGGAAGTAAACAAAGACAGAGATGTGGGCTGGCTGGCTGAATGCACAGTTTTGTGCCACTTGCTTCTGTAGCAGTTGAATGTTTGATAGTAAAGGACTGGGATGCCAGGCTCCAAGTGCCAGTAAGTATTTATGAGTATTTATTTGCATCCCTTGGCTGGAGGCTTCAGGAAAGAACTGGGAAGAAAGCAAGGTTGGTGGATGGCAGAGAGATGCTGAGTGATTGATAAATGCAGAGAGATGCTGAGTGATTGATAAATGCAGAGAGATGCTGAGTGATTGATAAATGCAGAGATGCTGAGTGATTGATAAATGGTGGGGAGGTGCTGAGTGATTGACAGATGGCAGGAGGAGAGAAGTCCAGCACAGGAGAGCCCCTGCAGTGGGTTTGGATCTGCACACCACGGGGGAGCTCTGGGCTATGGAAATATTTTGAAAGCGTGCTCCACAACAGGGAATGTTTCATTCCTGAGACATTCTCTGGCTGATTGAGGGTTGGGATGCTTTGAAACTTCTTCCTGCAGTGATTCTTTCCTGCCTGTAGCTACAACTTTAATGTTGAGAAGTAGTGGAATTGCTGCTTTTTTAATTTGTTACATTTTCTTCCAGTATGCTTCCTTGTTTCCACTTTCACGTTAGTTGTTGAGATTTCAAGCTTTCCCTGTACTTTAGTAAATACTGATTTTCTTTTTCTTTATTTCCTGATTCAGTTACTGAAATCATGAATCCTGTGTATAGCCCTGGATCTTCTGGGGTTCCCTATGCAAATGCCAAAGGAATTGGTTATCCAGGTAAGCAGCTCAGTTTTCTGATGAGTTTTGGTTACACTGCTCTTTGCTCATGGTCAAGATGGAATAGTCACTTATGAATGCCTTCATGTAAATCTGTTTTGGGATTGGGGTGAGGTTGCTTTTAATTTTAAAAAGTGACATTTCAAGAGTGATGTTATTTCTTCTGTTATATTTCTAACTTCAGTATCTCTTCCAATGCAGCTTATTTTAGGAGTTCTAATAATTACGCCCTGCAAGAAGAGGAGGCAATCTATTTCTGCTGCCAGTTGACTGGCACTGTTAACCTTTCTATCCTCTAATTCTTGTTCATGCTGTCTGTTCTCTGACTGCCCAAAGCATGGCATCAAAGGTGGCACCAAGAAAATGGCCAAAAATGTTTTTGAAACAAAAGTACATTTAATTTCTTGTTTTATCTGCTTCTCGTTGACTTAGAGTTTTTCATTAGGTTTCCCCTGCCTATCTCCTAATGTACGTGCAAGGAGGCTTCATTTCTGATGTCTCCATAGTCTAAAAGTCGGATGAGGCAAAATTAGATTTGGACAGAACTTTCCAGGAAGGCTGAGGGGAAGCCTGTGTGCCTCTGGGAGACATTGCAAGTTTGATGCTGTCTTTTTTTTTTTCTCTTATCTCTGACAGAAGGGAATTTCCATCCTGGGAGAGGCTGCAGGGTCTTTTCTGCTCAGCTTTGTATTTCATAAGAAGTCAAACTTCTTTCGCTTTTACAGGGAGGCAGTTTTGTGATTTAGTTGGTGTCTGTGTTGAGAGGCAGAAATTATTCTGCTGTTACTGTTTATATTCTTGGTAACTGTACTATATTTTCCTACTGGTATTTACCATTCTTAAATCTGTTTTTCACCTTGGGTAATGCACTAGAATTTGTTTTCCTGTTCTACTTTTCTTTGTTCCTCCTTCTAAATAGTCCTGCATGAATGAATTCTGTTCATTGGCTTGATTGTCTCAAAAGCATTTTATTTTTTGCTTTTCATGTTCCTCAAACTAATTTACCTTCCTTGATTTCTACAGTATTTATAAGGGAAACACAAAATGTGTTTAAATGTTTTTAGGTCTGTTGAGTGGCTGAAATGGTGCAGTAATAAATGGTAAAGCTGACACTATGTAACCATAAGTCCTGCATGATGGTTTTACTCTCTGAGTTATAAAAGCTGTAGTAATCTTATAATAAGGCAAGCAGCAGAGGCTTACTAATTAATATAATGTATGGACAGTTATTTCTGTATTTATAATAGATGGTTTTTTCCAGCCTTATGCTTTAGATAAAGATTATTATGGATTATTATGGATTGTTTGAATATAACTTCATATCTTTAGCTCAATTAATTTTCATAACTCAAATTTTTAGTAACCAGGTTCTGATTTGTGTTTATAAGCCTCTACATATTGTATTGAGGCTTTTGTCTATAAACCAAGTTGTACCTTAATTTACTTAAGAAAAAATACTGTTGTAGATTCATAAATAGCAGTTTAAACAACATTATAATCTCTAATCTTTTATTCTACCATTATATATACTAGACTATATAAATACTTCATATCTGCCAGTCTGCATAACCAAAATATATGGAATTGAGATAGAATTGTTGCAGAAGTGCCTTAAATGTCATGCTGCAGTGTGGTTACTTAGAGTTCTCCCTTGCAGCAGTCAGTTGGTCAGCTCGTGCAGCTGTGACCCTTAAATTCAGCTTAGTCAATAATGTGTTACACCATTAGATAGTTTGCTGAGCTGCCTGGTTCAGGCTTTAAGGTTGTGGGATAGATACAAAGCACATTCTCTAAAATGAAAAGTAGACTTGCATTTTAGGATTTTTTTTTAAATGTTGCATGACTAAGTCCCCCTTCTTTGCTTCTCCTGATTTAAAAGCTGCAGATTCTCCTCTCTAAATCATTGCATTTACATGGGTTGCATGGTGATAGAAAGTGAGGAACCCAGCAGTAGGTGGAATGCATTACTGAAAGGCAATGTGTTTCTAAAGCTGTTGCATATTTAATAACTGTTTATATTATGCTACACCTATTTTAGGCTGTTGGATAGTTTGACATCAGCAAGAAATCAATATTCAAATGTTCTCATATGGATGGAAGTTCCCTGTAGAAGCTAAAACTGCTGCTTGTTGTAGTTACATTTTCCACAAATCACCTGTTTCTTGAGTAGCTCAGTGCTCCTCAGTGAAGCTGAAGCTGTGAAGAGGAAGGAAAGGACTGAAAATGTTTCCCACACACATTGTTGCAGATGTGTGGTGTGTTTGAGTAAGGTTAAGCTGTACTGAAGCTTTCCACCAGCAGCTTGTGAGTTTGAAAACTGAAGAGGTATTTACACTCTGAAAAGTTGTTATGAGATGTTTGAGATGTTATTTTTAACTCTGATTTTTAAGCCTAAGGCTTTTCTTAGTCTTCTCCATGCTGACCACCTAATAGTAGTGCCAAGTGTATGTCACTTGATATGTTTACAGAGTGCTGTACAAAACTGGGTTAGCATATAGAGTCCTGAGCTAAGTAATTCTTATTGTTGGGAGGAATTGCTGAGGACTCTGAGATTCATAGTGGAATAAAAACCCTTCAAATCTGAGCAGCAGTTTAAAACTAAGCTCTGAGTCTGACAGTGGGTATGGAAGTATTAATTGCCTTTTATCTGAAGGAGCTGAAATCTTTATAAGTAGAGAGCAGAATGAGGTAGTAACTCCATCTTTCTGAATACAGGCATTACTTGGTTTTACAGATTTGAATAATGTAAATAGGTTCTTGGGAAAACTAATAGCTATGATTAATTCTGAAATTTCACTTAATCTGAGCAAGCTTTGTGTTTTTCAGGTAAAAAGCTTTTGCTAATGCTGTGCTGTGCCTTACACAGGAGTATATCACAGTGTTCTCTGGTGCAGAAGTGTTTCACTGTCATTTTTCAATACCTCTGTGAATCACTCATTACTGCTGTCACAGTGTGTGTCTGAAACTGGGGAGCTTGTTTGATACCCAGTGTAGTAGCAAATATATGTCAGATTCAGTAAGCAGTTTGGGCTGCTACTGCTTTGTACTTTCTACTTGAGATACCTCTGATCTGGAGAGTCAGAGTCACTCTAACTTCTAGGGATTTATTTCTGTGGAAAAGTCCATTCAGATAAGTACTGTATGTGATGCCTTTTTGGGGGCTACCTAGTAACAGAAGCCAGACTGTTAAGGCAATAAAAAGCAGTTCTATTTATTGAAGGGCCTTCAGGCACATTTTGGGCAATTGAAGCCCCCCCAGGAGCTACACCGAAAAATGGAACATGGGTCATGGGTTTTCACACTTTTGTATGTTTGGTCCATTTGCATATTGGGGGTTAATCTTCAATTACAGCTTCAGGTAATGAAGTCATTTACCCCCAGTTTGCTCCCCCAAACTCAATTTTGTTTACATCTCTTGGGAAGTGTCTTTGATTCCTAGGCCTGGAGAGGAATTGTTGTGTCTGACCAAAATGTGAAGACAGTAGCTAATGCTCTATATGGAGCTTAGAGTTAGAAAGTAAAGAATTGCAGGATTACAAATACATTAAAAACACAAAAGCTAAAATCTTAAGGCATTGTTTGTGTGTCACACCGGGGGGAGGAGTGCAGGACAGTTACACAAAACTTGGTTTTGCAACTAACTTAAGAGTTACTTGGCCAACGGAGATGGCAGGAAGAGGGGTGTAAGAGAGAATGGGCTTGTGAAACCATAGCTCTTCTCTTCACTTAGCATTCATCTGCAGGGGGCTTGGTGGATTGCAGTGTTTTATGTGAGGAGCTGTGATTGAAGGCTGCTTGCTTGCCTCAGTTAAAGCATGTGCAATGAGAGCTTTGAGAGTAAAGTCAGTCTAGAAGATAACTGTGGTGTGTTCTCTCCTAGCTGGCTTCCCAATGGGCTATGCAGCGGCTGCTCCTGCCTATTCCCCCAACATGTATCCTGGAGCAAATCCTACCTTCCAGACAGGTACGTGGTCTCACAGCAGGAAACTGACCTTTGCAAGTGGTCAGAAGCAAGAGCAGGGGCTCACAAAAACACTTTTACTGTGGGATGAGTTTTATATTACCTTGAACATGACTCATAAGGAATCATCTGATAAATTAAAAATATTATAATCTTAAGTCACACTGCATGCACCTTTCAAGAAGGGAACAGCTGTGGTTTTAGCTGTTTTTTCTGTATTTCCAGATTATCCTTGAGGTTTGCACTGCATTTCTCTTCACTGCTGCTTTCATGGCTCTGCTTGCTTTGCATCCTTCTGGTCATTTCCAGATTCCTGCTTTTTCTTCTGTCTGTTATCCTTAAATTTTTTTCTTTTTTATCCTTTTTTAAGTTGTATCTTTGCAAGTTCAACTTTCTGGCTTCTCTCTGCCCTGAGGATTGTCTTGCACAAGCTGAGGGTCTGGAAAGCCTGGTTGCTGGGTAAAGCTGATTCACCATTGTGGATGCAGGACAAGGACTTAGGTTACTGCACTTTCATGTGTGTCACTTAAGGAAGGGAATGGGATGAGCCTAGGAAAAGGTGGGTGGGAAAACAGACATGAAGAACAAGGCACTCACCAGAGTTATTTTTGTGTAGTTCTGCTTTCACTAGTAGAACATGATTTTAATGTGCTAATCCTTGAAACAAAACTGAAGCTGGTAGTGTTTAATTTCCACTTAAAGCAGGAGCATGCTGATACAACAGTATTCTCCCTATAGTTATTTTGTATAGGAAGGAATTCCTTACATTGCTTTGGTAATGCAAAGCTGGGCATCCTTAGAACTCTTCCACTCCCATGTATCATGCCAGTTTTCCAGAGCTGCATGTGGCACATAACCAAGTTTGTCCCTGAATGCCCTTGTGTAATTCATGGCAGTAGGAAAGGATACTGCTTGAAATTGGGAAGCTTATGCTGTGGGAGCTTGCTTGGCATTGAAGTTGTGTTCATAATGGATGGACTTCATTAACTACCAGGAGACTCTTCAGGACGGCAGCAATTACTGAGACAAAAGACTCATGTAAAATGTTTGCCTGCAGAACCTGTTAAAAGCGTGTAGATTTCCTTGGAACTGTGTGAGATTCTGTTGGTACAACCTCTGTCACTGTTCAGTTTGCTGCTTATAGGCAGAGTGAGTGCAAACTCACACTTTGTCTGGTCTTTGGCCTTGAATTTAAAGTAAGGAGACAGATTAATGTTAGAGGTTCTAGAAACTAAAAAAAATGCTGGGTATTGCCACTGTGCCAGTATCACATCTGGGGATGCCAGCTTGCATCTGCACAGGATTGCTCCAGGACTTACCCCAAGAGCCATGCTCAAGGGAGAGCAGTTCCCATCAGGGTGGAGCTCTTTTATTATTGACTTTATTGCTGTCAGGCCCTTCAGTTTCACTGCCTTCTGTGCTGCCCTGCATTTATCCTGCAGCTGTGCTGAGGAGGAGCTGTAGGCTTTGATCCTAGGAGCAGGTAACTGAAGGTAGCTCCAGTCTTAGTACAGGTTACAGTTTGCAAATCCTGGTGCAGGAAGCTGAGGGTAAGCTGCATGGAATCAATTTAACAAATCGTGGGAATTCTGGCAAAGATTAGTCATGTTGTAATATTAGTTTTCATTATTAATCTTGGAATATATCTCATGCTGTATACCAAAGTCAAAGAAAGAAACTTTTCACTTCTAAGAAAAAGCAATAAAGATGCATAAAATCATATACTGTCATAGAATGTCATAAATTTTTTAAAAACTACTACTGTTAGTCTTTATTGCTGTTGAATAGGAAGTACACTTTTATTTCAGAACTAAGAATAGCTTTCATTTTTAGCTGCTCTTCAAGCTGTGAACAAAAGTTCAAAATGTACAGACCTCTAATTCAGGCAGATAACAACTTGGAGTACTTTGTCCTAACAGCTGGGATGTTTTTATATCTTTTTTTAACCTTTCTGATGTAACAGCTTGTTTGTAGAATCAAAGCTTTTGTAAATTCATATTACACAGCAGTATTTGAATGTGCTGTGCCACTGCTGTTACAAAAGGGTGCTTTTTTACAGGTACCTGTCTTTACTGTGGTTTTGACTTCTCCTGTCATCTCCTGTTAAGGTCTTTGTTCCATATTATGGAGAAGAAAAAATGAATGCAATGGCAGAATACCTCTTGTGCAGATTTACCACTTTGCAAGAATGAAAGAGAAATTGCCTGTGCAGCTGCATCAGTGGGTTATTAGAATGAAAGTGGCTTCACTGAGGACATGGTTGTAGTGATTCTTCATGTTCAGCATTTTGTAGCTGGGGTTTTCACCACAAATAGCTCCCCATACTAATAGAAGTTACTTCCTCAGCATGCTGGATCTGTGAAATACTTAGGATCTCTAAAAGCAGGAGTTCAGAGTAAGAGCTGTGGTACAGCTTTTTTAAAGGTAAAAATTCTATTAAAAAGAAACAGTCAACCTATTTCTTTGTTAGCTAAGCAGCTTTTAGTTTGAAGGGTGTCATGAAATTGCAAAGAAGCCCAGACTTCTTCAAGAAGAATGAAGGTCATGTGTCATCATGCTGTTTGCACAGACTGATTTTTGACAGCACAAATGCCACAAATTCTCTCTGCTATGCAACTTCAGATCTGTTCTCTGTATTGAAGTCAGTTTTTAAAATCAATCTAATCTCTACTCTGATACTCTTTTTTTTTTTCTGTAGTTACCAAGTGTCTGTTCTTTCTTGCACTGCCCTGGTACTAGTTTATTCAATTCCAGCTACCTATGAATTGTGGACGTTGTGTCTCCCAGTGTGGTAGACCTGCACAAGATCCAAGATCTTTTCACAGCAGCACAGGCAAGAGCCTTGATGCTTTCTCCAGACTTGGTCATGCCTGTTGTGTGCTACCCTGAATATTAAAGCTGTTGGATGCTGCTGCTGAGGGGTTCATATTCCCACTCTGGCCATGGAATAACCTTGGGAGTGTAGCATGCAGAAACATTAGATATATTATAGAAAATATATATATCAAAATTATATATCGATAGATGTATATCAATATATCAAATCTCCTCCATGCCTCTTCAAGCCCTTGTTCTGACCCTGAGAACTTGTCTGATGTCTGGAGAAATTATGGAAAAGCTGTCTTTGGGCAGTATGAACCAGCAGTTATCCCTCTAAAAATTCCACAGTTCCAAACATTGACAAAGGCAGGCTGATTTTGGAGACCTTGTAATAGGAATGCCAGCCACATTCTGATGGCATCTGAAGTAGTATAAAAATAATTCTTAGGTAATGTTTAAGGATATGTCTACATGTATAATACTCAAAAAGAAGATTTAAGGATCTTAGTGCCTTCCAGGTTGAATTTGCAGTTGCACTGAACTTTGCAGTGTTTGTGTTTTAAAAGTACAGCATTTCATGTTTATTTTAGCCAGCTCAGAAAATGCCAGAAAATAAATAGACATAAAGGTAAGTTGAAGTAGAGGTTACAGGTTTTGTCTCTGCTCTCTGAAAATCCATCATGAGGTTTATAGATGATTCTGGCTTTTGAAATTCTTACTCTTGTGCTGTATCATCTCTTACAGCAGGTTAGTTGACTGTTACTGTGTTTTGCCAGTATGATTTGGGGGTGTGTGGAGAATTGACTGACACATGTGCCAAGTCCCCCTATGTAGGGGTGCTGCCTAATATGCCAAATCCTGGTATTTAATGCATTATTATGAAAATGCACTTTTTGCCCCATATCCATAGAGTTGAAAAATAAATTGTGCAAGTATACACTTGTTATAAATTGAAGTTACCTTTTACCTTAGTTGACACAACCAGGCTGCTGCCAGTGTTAGGCAAATGACAGACCTTGTGCCTGGGTATTGGGACTAAATGAAGTATTCCCATGCAGCTTATGGGGTTGGGGAGTATGAAAACCATTGTGGCTGCCTTTGGGAAGATAAGTGTGGAGTGTTTGAATGCAGTTTGCTTTGTTGCAGGTTACACGCCAGGCACCCCGTACAAAGTGTCCTGTTCACCCACCAGTGGGGCCGTGCCGCCCTACTCGTCATCCCCCAACCCCTACCAGACTGCTGTGTACCCAGTCCGAAGTGCCTACCCCCAGCAGAACCCATATGCACAGGTAGGTGGGTGCCTCTGTGGGCACCTCTGTCATAGCTCTGTGAACTCTTAACTTTTCATCTCATTCATTTCTCCGGGCATTGGGAGGATTTTTAGCTACCTGCAGTAAGAATTCCTAATGCACTGATTTAGTGTGTGCTCAATTTTACATCCTTTGTTGCCTGACAGTTACTCAGCATTTACTGGTAATGTGTTCACTCTTTGAAGAGACACTAAATTCAGCAGTTATGAGAACCTGCTGGGTCCTATAACTACCAGTATCCTGGGGTTTTTTTTGTAAAAATTGTCATAATTTTTGTTACAAAGTTTCTGTTGTAATTTCACTTGGGTTTACCAGGTCGCATGGTACGGAAGCTGTTGAAAACTATTACAAAGGATAGAATTAGGACACTTCAGTAAATATGATATTTTAGGGAAAAGTTGGCCTTCTTTGTCTAGTGGGAACTCACCTGGCACGTAAACAGTAGCTGAAGAGGATTAATAAGCATGTAACAAGTTTTATTCAGTCTGCTTAGTGTACTTGGATTTGCCAAAAACATTGTATTCTTTTACTGAAAGCAACTGAATAAAAAGTTGTGAATCAATGAGAAGTTCTGTCATGGATTAATATATGAAAGGGATCAAAAGGAAGGGAGTGAATGACGCATGAGCCCTTATTGTTGAAGATACAGTCAGCATCTACTAAGATCCCTACTTCACATGTTATCCTAAATGCCTTAAAAAGGGATAAAATGTTAAATTGCAAGTGAAACACAATTGTAATAGTTGCAGTAAATGTTTCAGCTTCTGCTCTGTAAATTCATTGCATTTAGAGTAATACTCTTATTTTATGATACATTTGTGAAAGAAGCTCTCATTATCTTCCCCAGCAGATACAGTGTATTTACTTCACACTCTGTTTTTTCTCCAACAGCAAGGCACTTACTACACACAGCCTTTGTATGCAGCACCACCCCACGTAATCCACCACACCACAGTCGTGCAGCCCAATGGAATGCCAGCAACCATGTACCCTGCTCCGATCCCGCCGCCCCGGGGGAACGGGGTCACCATGGGCATGGTGGCTGGGACCACCATGGCAATGTCAGCAGGTGGGTGCACACACACCAGGCCTCTGCTCAGTGGAGCTCTCCTTGGAGCCCAGGGGGAGCACTGTGATGCCACAGGTGCGCTTGACAAAATCATGCAAATGTCACTTCAGAAGGACTTGTGCAGGTTGTGTGTCTTCACAGAATTCCCAAAATTACCAGGTTGGAAGGAGCCTTCAAGATCAAGTCCAACCCATGCCCCAACACCTCAACTAAACCCTGGCACCCAGTGCCACATCCAGGTTTCTTTTAACACATCCAGGGATGGTGACTCCACCACCTCCCTGGGCAGCCATTCCAGAACTTTATCACTTTCTGTGAAAATTTTTTTTCCTAATATCCAACCTATATTTTCCTTGGCACAGCTTGAGGCTGTGTGCTCTGGTTGTGTCAGTGCTGCCTGGAGAAAGAGCCCAGCCCCAGCTGAGCACAGGCACCTTTCAGGAGCTGTGCAGAGTGATGAGGGCACCCCTGGGTCTCCTTTTCTCCAGGGGAGCACCCCCAGCTCCCTCAGGGGTTCCTCTCAGGGTTTGTGTTCCCAGCTCCTCTCCAGCCTCACTGCCTCCTCTGGATGTGCTCAGTGTCCCAAGGTCCTTCTCAAACTGAGGGCCCAGGGCTGGGCACAGCACTCAGTGCACTTCTGAGTGAGTCCAGCTAGGTCAGGCTTTGTTCAGCAGTGCATTGATCACCTCTAAGGATGGAGGTACCACATCCTCTTTTCAGAGTTAGTATTATGGGGCAGCAGTTTTTCTTCATATCTGTATAGAATATCCCTTAGTCTTGTACCCTTTGTTTCTCCTCGTACCAGTGTCAAGAGTGTGGCTTCCTCTTCCCACTCCTTTTCTCTGTGCCAGTTGAAAGCAGCAGCCTCTTAGAGCTGAGGAAAATGCCATGTTCTGGGCTCACCCGTCATATCACAGACCTTCCTTGTCTTGAGATACAACACTTGATGTGTTTGTACTACCTGCAGGTCCTCTGTGTCATGGGGAATGGTTGGGGATGTCTACTTCCTACTGGCACAGTCTTTTGGTGGTGGTAGTGTTTTGGAGAGAATGGTGTTTAATCAATAATTCAGTGTCATCTCTGAATGTTTGCTGAGGGGGTATCATGCTTTGTTATTCACTGGGTGTTAACTCACAAAGAAAACTCCACATTCACTCAAGGGATGCTAATTTAAAAATCTAATAAACAGCCATAAGTTTGTTTTGAGAGTCTGGTTTCTATCATGTCAAAGTTAAAATTTAATTTGAGAAACTTCAAAACTAGAGGGGTTAGGTGTCGCAAACTGAGCTAACAAAGCTTTGTGGGGAAAGCCTATTTGTAATAATGCAAACATGAACTAATTTATTCTGATTTATCAGTCAAGTTATCTCTACCATCAAATATTCTTAATGGCATGTAAAGCCTGCTGTGGGGAGAGTTGCTTATGTTGCAGGGTTTCTGCTAGAGCTATTTTTGACTAGTGAATGTCTTTGTATGCATGGGCCTAAACATCCACTGGGCTAAAATGGCCCTCAGCATAAAGGTTTGAAGAAGATTGGGACTGGAATGCAAAACAATACTGGTAATTTTGAAGAACAGTAAGTTGTAATTGTCTTTTAAAATTACTTAGATTTTTCTTCCCTCTCCTTTTTTTTTCCCTCTCTAGTAGAATTTTTGCTTACTGAACAACTGTTCTCTTCATTGCAGGTACTTTGTTGACAACTCATTCCCCAACTCCAGTAGCCCCTCATCCAGTTACTATGCCCACGTATCGGGCTCCAGGAACACCAACCTATAGTTATGTGCCCCCTCAGTGGTGATCATCCTGGCAGTCAGTGTAAGTTGCATTGAAAGCAGTTAATCTTTATTACAGACAACAGCATTTCAGGTTCTTTGGGGGGTATTTTGCAATGCGGGGGTGCTTCTGCAGTAATCTAATTGAGCAGGAATACTCAAAAATCCTGCTGGGGTTTCTTGAGTGCTCTGTGTCTTCACAAGTCATGAATCATTTTCATGATGCATGACTGATAAATATGCCTTAAGTTGGCCTTATTTAAATATATCTGGAATTATATATATGCAGTAATTTGGAATTACTGGTAATTGTTAAATTCAGCAGTACTGTGATTCCTGAATTGAATGTATTTGACTTTGTAGTCAAATTACCTGTGATTGGCTAAATATGTAGGCAAGGTGTTTTGCCTTGCTCAGAGGGTGAATATTTGTCACAAGCTGCTGAAACAGATAACCTTGAGATAATTTCATATATTCACTCTTGTTTCAGGTAAGTATCAGTTCATACTTCATGCAGTCAGCATGGAAAAAGCATTTTTAGTGTGAACCAAAATTTAGATCGTGGGTTTCAAGAAAAGGAGTTTCATTTTGAAATCTGCTATAAAGTGGGATGGATTTTGGGGCTGTAATCTGTGTCAAACTGACATGAGGACTAATGTTTTTGTGATACCCACTTCATTTCTAGTTTGTTTGGTTATTTAGCATGAGTTGAAAACAGCTTCATTTGAATTAGAGACTTGTCAGACCAACTGAACTTAACATTTTCACTTTTAGTCCATTTAGTTTATCAAAAAAGTAAACTTTGTTTTAACTTCCTCTGGATTTCTGTTTCAGCAGTTAGAAGTACTGAGTTTGAGACTGCAGGTGCCCATTCCCTTTGAGTTAGTAATGTAGCAGCCATTTCTCATTTTGCTGTGATGGTACACAGCTGTCTGCAGATCTGAAATGCTTCTCATGAAGTATTTCAACCAAGAGTCTCACACTACACAAATAAAAGAAGTGAAAATTATGCTGCTAATAAACACATGACTGCTGGTAATTAAATTTAGGATGAAATACCTTCTCAATATTCCATCTTGTACTTTAAAAACCATGGTGGTGCTGACAGAAAGCTGGACTGGATGTGACCAGAGCAAGTCCATGTAGTGTGTTCTTATGTCAAAACGTGGCAGGATAACTGCTAGGGCAACATTTTTTAACACTTGGCATTTGTTGGTGTATGTGGTGCATGAAATGTTGGTGTGTTCTGCCACACTCAAATAGTATTTCACCTAATTGAGAGTATTTCCCACTCTTTTCTCCTTCTTAATGTAGGTTTAAAGATGGGAGATATGCAATCAAGAAATTGAGGTTTAAAAGTTGGTGCTGAAGCCCTCATGCCTCCAACCAGGACTTTCCTTCTGAATGCTTTCAACACTTGGCTAAACACTACTAATTCCTGATCACTGAAGATTTTCCAGTGCTGCATATCTTACATCTTGGAACTCCAGCAGTTAGTCTTAAAGCAAATCCTGTTTTGTGGACTGTCTTGCAATTTTTTAGCTAATTATAATGATAAAAAGGGAGTATAAATTTATTCTGATCCATATCTAGTTGAATGCATGTTAAAACACAAAAACAAAGCTTGCTCAATCTACCTGCAGTGACTGATGCAAAAACCATCATATGCAAATCCAAAGGAACCGAGAAGTATTTTACAACTTGTATCACTAATGCACTGTTGTAATGTATGCAGGGTCTGACAAGGTAGAATCATGAAAGTGAGTTTCTTTCTAGAATGCCATAACACACATTAGACGAGTGCTTCAGCCTGTTTCAGGTTGTTGGAGTTGCCAGTTTAAAAGGGGCATATTTTTGTTTAAGTGATGTGTTCTTTTCAAATTCAGCTAATAAATTGGAGTGACTGGAAAATGAGTCAGACAAGCTGTAGACATCCCGCACACCATTAGTTTACTTCATACCTTTTCATTTTCATTGTATGGAATCAGTGTTATACAGATGTTCTTAAGGATCAGAATTAAATGACAAAGGTAATGCTGTGTGTGCCAGTAAATAAGGCAAACTTCCTTGAGGCAAAACTGGCTCTTAGGAATAGTAGGAGGTGGTATCACCTGCAGAATGAATAGCATGTCCTGGGGAGATTTCTATCCAGTACTATCTTTCAGATAATGCAAGATGTGTCCAAGTGAGACTGCCACACAGACTGATAGAAAAACACTTCCTTTTAGTTCTCAGTTGAGCAAATTCGTGCTGTTTTTCCTAAAGAATGTTGTAGTCAGTTGAAAACATATGTGCAGTTGATCCAGCTTGCTTTCCAGAAACTTAAGAAGTGCAAGGGCTTTCTGCAACAGAGTTCAGCTGCATGTTATTCTGAGGAAAGCTTGTGTGCCTGATGAGTATGTTAAAGGGGAACAAACCATTTTAACACAATTTCCTTATTATCTGCTTGCAGTATGGACTATGGATACTCTGTAGTAGGGCTGCCAGAGTATAGAGGGTTTAAATAGCAGTTTCGTTTTGGGGTTCTTTTTCATGAAAATAATTGTAATTGAAGTAGGAGCCATTTGTTGGTTACAACCTTTTGATGTGTTTTCTTAGTATTTTCTTTTTTTTTACTTCCTAAATTGCACTTGGAAGCACGTAAAATAAGACTCGACTGCAGATTAGCATTTCATTGCAATGAGTCATTTGTGATATTCTTTCTTGCAACTTCAATTCTTAAAGTACCTCAAAGCAAATGCTGTGGGGATAAAGGGCTAGCCTTGGAACCCATTTGTATACCAAAATTGTTAAGGGGGAGATTTTAAATTTTTAAATTTGAATATTGCACATTAAAACCGAGGTTCTTCTTAAACCTGCTTGATTTACAATTCCAGAAAGATGCAATTTTTTTTTTATACATTCTGCAATAAATTATGCAGTAAATGGATATAAAATGTTGTTCCCTTTTAAGCATTTACACAGAGGTATATCAGGCTGTCTTGTTCTGTAGGTTAACTTCCATTCAGAATTAAATTTTTTGAAGTTGTGTATCTTAGTTATGCTTTGTTTTGGGGTGTTCTGCTCCTGTACAGATTTGGCAGCTGATTTGGGGTAGCATCAGTGCTGGTTTAGTGCTGCCATCCCATTACTCTGCCCTGGTGAGAGGCTTGTGTACCTTCATACCCCATTGGTGGTTAGAGCCTTCAGTAACTTTATTTTTTACAGTAAGCACTCTCTGTATTTTGTACCCTTTTTTTTTAAATAAAGTTTAGGTTTATTTTGCATGAATCACTGTCAGTGGATGGCCCCCTTATTTCTAATGCCTTGAACATAACTATGTTGTTGGAATAAGTACTTTCAACCTTACTCATGAGCACTTACTGCAGCTTAGGGATTTCCATATGTTTTTATATGGAGCAGAAAATGATCCAAGACAAACTTAGTTGAAGTGTACTGCTTTGTTCAGTCTTGTGACAATTCCATGTGTGTGTTAGATTTGCAGCTGTGATCAGTCAGGTGTGGCAGAGCACAGTGAGCACCAACGCAGGGCCTCGTCCTGAGCTGAGGGCTGCAGCAGAGCTGTGTTGGGGAGGAGCTGTGAGGGCCAGGCTGGAAGTTTTGCTGTCTTCTGTCTCATCACCAAGAACTAAAGTCATAGGAGAGAACTCGCGTGAATGCTGCAATAGAGAAGTAGTTGAGGAATGAATATAACTTCCTATATATTTGCTCTAACTTCAGATTCCTAAATGTCATCTTGGGATTGGTCTCAGTGTAGTATTCCATAACACTTAGGCAGTCTCACTTACTTGAGCACTTTTTTTTCTAAGTTGCATTATGGGATTCATCCAGGAGGGAGAAACTGTACCTTTTCCAAAGGTACTGCACCTTCCAGTGCCGAGCGACTCTGATCCTACTGGGAGGCTGGAGCTTGTCTCCAGGAGTTCTTCTGAAAAGTAACCAAAAGCACAGTGCAGGGGAAGGGGGAATATGTGTATATATAACTATCTCAGTGGTATTTTGTTGCAAATAGTAGAAAGCATGGATATAAAACTGCAGTGGGGGAAACTGTACATCATTAAATAGGCGTTTACACAGTGAGGGTCTTACGAAACATTCTCTCCTGCTTTTTATATAACATTCCCTATTTAGAATTCCTTTATAAATGAAAACGAAGTATGTGTTTGCACTAAAGCTCCTCAGCAAATTAAAAGAGCTAGTGCAGTAGAGACATTTCCAATCAAGCTTCTCTTTAAAAAAAGAAAACTTTTATGGCAGCTTTATATGATTAAAAAAAAATACTACTATAAACCTGGAACTGAAAATAACTGTTGCAGCAATAACAAAGAGAAGTCCAAGAATTTTTTTTTAATTCAAATTTCAAGTGTTGCGTCTAGATAAAGTATTTTTTAAAAACCAAGGTATTCCCTATGTCAGTAACAGCTGATAAAGATGTCTTTTAAATGTAGCAGCAGCGAAAGAAAAATGGCTAATAATTGGTACCAAAACCACATAGCCCTGGTCAGTGTGGTGGTGGTTAACTAAACACCAGGAAGGAAAAGAGACAACCTACTGCTAGATGTTGCTTGTGCTTGTTGTGACCCTCTCCTGTTTGGAGTTTCTAGGAGACATGCAGGAATGCTGCTCAAGAAAGCTTCATTTTGAGTGTACTATGCAAGTTAAATGCTTAGATGCAGCTGTAGGTGAAAAAGTCTTTTATTTTCATTCTTCCTTGTATTGCTCCATCCACTGATAAAGCTAACCAAACAAGAGAAGCAAACCACCACCCCTGAGTGCCACGTGTGTGGCTGGTGTCAGGAGAGCTGATGGTACAGAGCTGTGCACCAGGGTTCTCAGCATGGGCTGCTCTCCTGGAGTGTCCTGCCTTCACTGAAGCTCCTTGGCTGCTGAGGCAGGAGCATTGATTGGAATCGCTCCCCAGTGCTCCAGCAGTGTTCCACACTGTTCATTGGGTTTGCTCAAATAGGTAAGCACGTCAGTCTGACACCACCACCTAACTAGGGCCAACAACTCCCGTGTGTGTGAAACCTCCCACCTTAGGAACGTGGGCAGTGATGCTCCAGCAGGAGCTGGAGGCGTGGCACAGAGCAGAGCCTGTGGCTGTGCCTGCTCTGTGGCTGCCTGGGCTGGGTTTGCGCTCCTTAGGACACAGCCCCAGTCTGCCCCAGCTCTGTCAGTGCAGGTTCCTCAGCCCTGTGAGCCAGCCTGAGGCAAGGCTGTGAAGGACACGGCCATGGCCATTTCAGCTCACTCGCCTTGTTCTCATTAGAAGTGTCAGTTTCTAATCCTGTGTTGTGTCAGCTCTGGGCTTCCTGCAGAGCCCCTCACACGAGGAGGTGAAATCCACAGGGCAGGAGCACGTGCAGCAGGCTCGGGCAGTTTGTGCAGGGCTGAGCTGGTTCCCTCTGCTGGGAGGACTCTGGGCAGGCTGGAGCCTCTGCCCAGGGTGCTGAGGGCAGGCAAGGTGTCCTGTAGGCACCAGAGGGGAGAGGAACAGTGGGGACAAGAAACCTTTCCTTGTGCAGGTTGCATATAACACTGAAACATCTGAATTTCACATGTAGTAAGGGTCCATTTGTGACTTTTACATCTGGACAATTTATGGGCCCTGAAGTTTCAACATCAAGAAAATGAACATGACTTTTCTAAACTGATTGTGACTTTTGGGCACTTAGCAGGCAAACTGGGAAAGCTTTTTTAGCTGGCTGCTGTACAGACTTGTTTTAACTAGAAGGGATTTGTTAGTGGGTTTTTTTTAATTGTAATGCTATTATTGGCTGCCCTCCTGTCTTAAGATCTAAAAAAGTGAGTGCATGCAATGGAAGTACAAGAGGCCCCAGTAATAGTTCTCCATGTTTGTTATGAAATAGACACAGGTTTCCTTTTTATGACTTTTTTTAAGACTGTCTTAGGAACAGTTGTATTGGTACTTTTTTTTTTAAGTTTAGGTCAATGTTGTCTTCCAGAATAAGTTTTAAGGCATCACTCACTCCTGCATTGAACTATCGCATCAACACAAAGAGTGGAGATTCCATTCTGAGCCAGTTCAATTGTGAAAATTCATACTTTTTTTATTTTTTATGCAATTCAATGAGTAGATGAGCTCAAGTTTAAATTCTTAAAAGCACGTTTATTGTAACAAGAATTGTTATGTATTAATACTTCAGTTTTCAATAAAGATTGACTTGTGTTGCTTATTGTGGTTTCTTTCCTACTGTCTTTGGTGCAATCCTTCCAGAAAACATTCTGTGCTGGAGAACAGTATGATGCATTTAAACTCTTCAAGCTGATGGAATCTGGTGATTGATGGAGGCAAAGCAAAATGTTGAAAGGGATGAGTGATCAGTAAGATTTCTTCAAGCCTAACAGAACACAGTGGCAAAGGCT